ACACCACTGCGCATACGCGCTCGACCACTTCCTTTGTCAACGGCGTTTGGGCGGCAAACGGACGGTAATTTTGATTTGACATTTGTTTTTGTGTTTTTGAGGGGCGTTTGGGAGAAATCGTTCTTATGAATATTTTGTGATATCTCATATACCTTTGTTTGCTGAAAGAAGAACTCCTGGCTCCGGAATAACACTTTATTTGGCCCTTCATTCAGCATGATGCCGTCCCTCCAGCTCGTTTGACATGTGCTTTACGGCGTGTGCGAGATGGCGGGAGCGGATGGGGTCAATTGAAACGCTTCTCTGAGGGTCAGTTGAAACAGGGCCACAGGCCGTTTCAATGGACCCCGGTGACCCTTGCAATGGTTATTGTTCAGGGGCTGTAAACATTAACCCGCGCCCCACTGGGGGGGGGGGCTATTTATAGCCCCCCCTCCCGTTTTTCTGCAATAACTTCCAAACCGCTTGACGTATCGACGCCAAACTTTCAGTACCTTCGGCTGCATCAATTTGACACCTTGTGTCAAAATTTGAACTTCGTACCTACCATAGGTCGGCCGGAAATGACGTCAGAGTGACGTCATGTTCGGCCGATTTCGACGCAAAACATTGAACCACGGCAATCGCTCCCAAGAGCTCAGTTTTTAAGCTAGATCCAATTTCTTTGCATGAGAGGACTCAGAATAGACTGCGCTATCAAACTGCTATCTCGGATTTTCGAAATGTTGAAAATTTCGAAAATTTTAAATAATAAAATTCAAAATTTATATTTTTACATTTTTTTTCAAAAAGTTTTTGACTTTTCGAAAAAACCGGAATATATGTGATAGAACGCATTATTATGACTACCTCTCGCAAGTTTTAGCTACATATCTTCAAAAATGGCCAAGTTATACGCATTATTGCAAAAAATTAACAATTATTAATTTTTCAAATCAATTTTTCAGCACGAATTTGACATCGTACGCCAATATAAATAGCACCATCGTGTTCCTGAGCTCAAACTGCATCGAATAGACACCTTTTTTGTTGAAAATGTTTAACTTCAAAATTTGACCTTTTTTGACCTGAAAGTGACCTGACCTTAGCTAAATTTGACTCAAAATGACCTCGCATGACAGAGACGACATCAAATTCGAAATGTTTGGCCTAAATAGACCATAAAACATGTGTCACGTGACCGACGGATGATATAATATTTTCGTGACCTGTGATGACCTGACCTTGACCTGAAAATCAAAGTACAAGTTTGGTACCCTCAGAGTATCTAGAGCATCTGTTCACGAGTGTGTGAACCAAAAATGAGCCTGATCTGACTTGTAAGACGGCGGCCAGAGCCCAAAACGTGAAGAAGCCAAAATGCTAATAATTTTTACTTTGACCTGACCTGTGACGTCATCAGTGACCTCGAGGTCAATAAAATTAGGTTTCGCTCGACAGTTTTTCCGGGGCTATCAGACGCCGTTTGAATTTTGACGATCGGCCCAGTAGTTTCGGAGTTAGGAGGGGGGGCTATGAATAGCCCCCCCCCCCCAGTAGGGCGTGTTATACGCAGACCCCAGTGGGGCGCGGGTTAAAGGAAATAGTCCACCTTGAAATGAGCTTTTAAACTAAAATAGTAGTTTAATAGAGCTCAATTTTTGACCCCGTTTTCTCCGGCCTTTTGCTTGAAAGCACACTATAGCCTGAGCTATGTATTTCTCATTTTTCTCATCCGCCCATTTTACCATAGTCTATGTACTTTATGTCACCTATTATGAGGAACTTTGCACTTTTAGCTTTCAAACGACCTATTGAATGTAGCATTTGGAAAAGTAAACCGGACAAAATATCTCCTTAAGAAAGTGGCCTTAAAGAGGAAAACATCCCATTGTTAACCCGCGCCCCACTGGGGTCTGCGTATAACACGCCCTACTGGGGGGGGGGGGGGGGGGCTATTCATAGCCCCCCCTCCTAACTCCGAAACTACTGGGCCGATCGTAAAAATTCAAACGGCGTCTGATAGCCCCGGAAAAACTGTCGAGCGAAACCTAATTTCATTGACCTCGAGGTCACTGATGACGTCACAGGTCAGGTCAAAGTAAAAATTATTAGCATTTTGGCTTCTTCACGTTTTGGGCTCTGGCCGCCGTCTTACAAGTCAGATCAGGCTCATTTTTGGTTCACACACTCGTGAACAGATGCTCTAGATACTCTGAGGGTACCAAACTTGTACTTTGATTTTCAGGTCAAGGTCAGGTCATCACAGGTCATGAAAATATTATATCATCCGTCGGTCACGTGACACGTGTTTTATGGTCCATTTAGGCCAAACATTTCGAATTTGATGTCGTCTGTGTCATTCGAGGTCATTTTGAGTCAAATTTCGCTTAGGTCAGGTCACTTTCAGGTCAAAAAAGGTCAAATTTTGAAGTTAAAATTTTTCAACAAAAAAGGTGTCTATTGGATGCAGTTTGAGCTCAGGAACACAATGGTGCTATTTATATTGGCGTAAGATGTCAAATTCGTCCTAAAAAATTGATTTGAAAAATTAATAATTGTTAATTTTTTGCAATAATGCGTATAACTTGGCCATTTTTGAAGATATTTAGCTAAAACTTGCTAGAGTTAGTCATAATAATGCGTTCTATCACATATATTCCGGTTTTTTTCGAAAAGTCAAAAAGTTTTTGAAAAAAATGTAAAAATATAAATTTTGAATTTTATTATATACATTTTTCGAAATTTTAAAAATTTCGAAAATCCGAGATAGCAGTTTGATAGCGCAGTCTATTCTGAGTCCTTTCATGCAAAGAAATTGGATCTAGCTTAAAAACTGAGCTCTTGGGAGCGATTGCCGTGGTTCAATGTTTTGCGTCGAAATCGGCCGAACATGACGTCACTCTGACGTCATTTCCGGCCGACCTATGGTAGGTACGAAGTTCAAATTTTGACACAAGGTGTCAAATTGATGCAGCCGAAGGTACTGAAAGTTTGGCGTCGATACGTCAAGCGGTTTGGAAGTTATTGCAGAAAAACGGGAGGGGGGGGGGCTATAAATAGCCCCCCCCAGTGGGGCGCGGGTTAAGGATAGGTGCAATTGACCCCATGGGCTGGTTCAATTGACCCTCGCATCGGGGTCATTTGAAACGGACGTAGAGCTGTTTTATAAGCATGCGTTTGGCAGCAAAATATGTTTGAAACATAATTTTACATATCTTAAAATAAAGCCAAAAGAGCATATTTTTTCATGGCATTGTGCATTTTTCGATATGACAACTAGATCTCGCTGTGCATGTCAATATATAAAAAGTGGTTCAACTGGCCCCGCTCTCCCCTATAGTTTATCTAACATCAAGTTATTCCAGCAATTGATTCCAGCAGATTTTGGTTCAAAAGCAGCACTCACGATAATGTTTCATAGGAGAATAATATCCCATAAAAATAGCGAAATGCCACTTAGATGAGACGTTTGGTGTGGCATTCTGAACATGCGAACTCTTACATGTTAAGTTGATCAATGGACGCTTTAAATTATGGAAGCTATAATATCTATAACAATGTGACTAAGACAAATGACAAGAAAAGTTAGGACGTCCGCATAGCGCCGCATGTGAGAAGACAAAAAAAAAAATGCATAGGTATTCTATCAACAAGAAGGTGTTGAATTTATGCAAAATTATGATTTTGATCAAAGAAACTTGAACTTGCTTTGATATGGCATTACTATATGTTATCGATTTCTATCATACATTTTTTTATGACAGCCTCCACGGCTATCCGTGGACAGTGGATCTCTTTCCAGGGTTATCAGACTCATGTCTCGCTGGCTATTTGTGCGCGACATCGGCGCGGCCGAGTCCCTGCCTTGTCGTGCACGTCCGGTGCCATGGCGGCCGGCGCGCCCGGAAATGAGCTCCGGCCGGAAGCGGTGTCCTTCCGGTGTCCGTCCGCCGGCCCAGATAGCGGCCTTGTCGCCCAAGGGACTCCCGACGGACGGCCGTGCGCTGCAGAGACTCTGTTCGCTCACGCTGTGCTTACATACAGCTTCCTTACAGCTCTACCCCGTCTCCGCAGCTCTTTGCTGCCCTTTACATCTTCCGGAGCCCGGAATTACCTCCAATCCCCTCTACACTTCCCTCTCAGCAGCTATCCTCTCCTCTTTTTCTCTTTGTATCCCTCTACTCCAACTCTCCTGCCCCCCCCCCCTGCGGCTCTCCGGTTCTCTCTGTATTTCTCCGGTCCCTATCCGCACCCCTGCAGCTCTTCCAGTTCGAACCCCTCTGCTGCTCTGCATCCTTTTGTAACTCTCGGTCGGTCCCACCACAACTCTCCTACTCCGGTTCCCTCTGCAGCTCTTCTGTCCCCGTACACCGTAAGTGCAATTTTCCGGTCCCTCTGTACCCCTCCACAACCCTCCCAGTCCGGTCCTCTCTGTACCCCTCCACAACCCTCCCAGTCCGGTCCCCTCTGACCTCTGTACCCCTTTACAACCCTCCCAGTCCGGTCCCCTCTGTACCCCTTTACAACCCTCCCAGTCCGGTCCCTCTGTAACCCTCCACAATGCCCTCCCAGTCCGGTCCTCTCTGTACCCCTCCACAACCCTCCCAGTCCGGTCCTCTCTGTACCCCTCCACAACCCTCCCAGTCCGGTCCCCTCTGACCTCTGTACCCCTTTACAACCCTCCCAGTCCGGTCCCCTCTGTACCCCTCCACAACCCTCCCAGTCCGGTCCCCTCTGTACCCCTCCACAACCCTCCCAGTCCGGTCCCCTCTGTACCCCTCCACAACCCTCCCAGTCCGGTCCCCTCAGTACCCCTCCACAACCCTCCCAGTCCGGTCCCCTCTGACCTCTGTACCCCTTTACAACCCTCCCAGTCCGGTCCCCTCTGTACCCCTCCACAACCCTCCCAGTCCGGTCCTCTCTGTACCCCTCCACAACCCTCCCAGTCCGGTCCCCTCTGTACCCCTCCACAACCCTCCCAGTCCGGTCCTCTCTGTACCCCTCCACAACCCTCCCAGTCCGGTCCCCTCTGACCTCTGTACCCCTTTACAACCCTCCCAGTCCGGTCCCCTCTGTACCCCTTTACAACCCTCCCAGTCCGGTCCTCTCTGTACCCCTCCACAACCCTCCCAGTCCGGTCCCCTCTGTACCCCTCCACAACCCTCCCAGTCCGGTCCCCTCTGTACCCCTCCACAACCCTCCCAGTCCGGTCCTCTCTGCACCCCTTTACAACCCTCCCAGTCCGGTCCTCTCTGAACCCCTCCACAACCCTCCCAGTCCGGTCCCCTCTGTACCCCTCCACAACCCTCCCAGTCCGGTCCCTCTGTAACCCTCCACAATGCCCTCCCAGTCCGGTCCCCTCTGTACCCCTCCACAACCCTCCCAGTCCGGTCCCCTCTGTACCCCTCCACAACCCTCCCAGTCCGGTCCCCTCTGTACCCCTCCACAACCCTCCCAGTCCGGTCCCCTCTGTACCCCTTTACAACCCTCCCAGTCCGGTCCCCTCTGTACCCCTCCACAACCCTCCCAGTCCGGTCCTCTCTGCACCCCTTTACAACCCTCCCAGTCCGGTCCTCTCTGAACCCCTCCACAACCCTCCCAGTCCGGTCCCCTCTGTACCCCTCCACAACCCTCCCAGTCCGGTCCCCTCTGTACCCCTCCACAACCCTCCCAGTCCGGTCCCTCTGTACCCCTCCACAACCCTCCCAGTCCGGTCCCCTCTGTACCCCTTTACAACCCTCCCAGTCCGGTCCCCTCTGTACCCCTCCACAACCCTCCCAGTCCGGTCCTCTCTGCACCCCTTTACAACCCTCCCAGTCCGGTCCCCTCTGTACCCCTTTACAACCCTCCCAGTCCGGTCCCCTCTGTACCCCTCCACAACCCTCCCAGTCCGGTCCCCTCTGTACCCCTCCACAACCCTCCCAGTCCGGTCCCTCTGTACCCCTCCACAACCCTCCCAGTCCGGTCCCCTCTGTACCCCTTTACAACCCTCCCAGTCCGGTCCCCTCTGTACCCCTCCACAACCCTCCCAGTCCGGTCCTCTCTGCACCCCTTTACAACCCTCCCAGTCCGGTCCTCTCTGAACCCCTCCACAACCCTCCCAGTCCGGTCCCCTCTGTACCCCTCCACAACCCTCCCAGTCCGGTCCTCTCTGTACCCCTTTACAACCCCCCCCCCAGTCCAGTCCCCTATGTACCCCTCCACAACCCTCCCAGTCCGGTCCTCTCTGTACCCCTTTACAACCCTCCCAGTCCGGTCCTCTCTGTACCCCTTTACAACCCCCCCCCCAGTCCAGTCCCCTATGTACCCCTCCACAACCCTCCCAGTCCGGTCCCTCTGTACCCCTCCACAACCCTCCCAGTCCGGTCCTCTCTGTACCCCTCCACAATGCCCTCCCAGTCCGGTCCCCTCTGTACCCCTCCACAACCCTCCCAGTCCGGTCCCCTCTGTACCCCTTTACAACCCTCCCAGTCCGGTCCCCTCTGTACCCCTTTACAACCCTCCCAGTCCGGTCCCCTCTGACCTCTGTACCCCTTTACAACCCTCCCAGTCCGGTCCCCTCTGTACCCCTCCACAACCCTCCCAGTCCGGTCCCTCTGTACCCCTCCACAACCCTCCCAGTCCGGTCCCCCCCTGTACCCCTTTACAACCCTCCCAGTCCGGTCCCCTCTGTACCCCTCCACAACCCTCCCAGTCCGGTCCCTCTGTACCCCTCCACAACCCTCCCAGTCCGGTCCCCCCCTGTACCCCTTTACAACCCTCCCAGTCCGGTCCCCTCTGTACCCCTCCACAACCCTCCCAGTCCGGTCCCCTCTGTACCCCTTTACAACCCTCCCAGTCCGGTCCCTCTGCACCCCTCCACAACCCTCCCAGTCCGGTCCCCCCCTGTACCCCTTTACAACCCTCCCAGTCCGGTCCTCTCTGTACCCCTTTACAACCCCCCCCAGTCCAGTCCCCTATGTACCCCTCCACAACCCTCCCAGTCCGGTCCTCTCTGCGCAGCTCTCGGTCCCTCCGCGGCTGTCTCGTATGTATGTATTACATTTGCAGGGCAGTCCACAATCAGTCGTGGCTATTATTGCCCCAAGTCATAAGATAATCGGTAAAATCATACAGGTTGCAGTCATCTCATTCATCGACACCATACAATAAAGCAGTAAAAACAATCACACAGCTCACAGCCCGGCCCACATCCCACGACCCATACGCACGGACGGTCTCACAAGGTCAAAACATGGGCTCTCACTGCTCGGACGAAACGCTGGTGAGACAGCTCGGTGGTTCCGGCAGGCAGCGAGTTGTAGAGGTCTGGCGCTCTATAGGCGAAGCGACGCCTCCCGGCCTCTGTCCTCGGCCTGGGTAGACGGAAGAGGTGGTCCTGTCGCGTACTTCTCACGCGAATGTCACAGCATCGGGTAAAAGAGTTGACCAGCGAGTCTGGTTCACCCCGCCGCAGCACCCTGTGCATCAGTTCCCTCCGCGCAGCTCGTCGGTTCCTCTTTGTACCCCCCAGCCCCAGCTCTCCCACTCCGGTCCCTCTGCAGCTCTTGGTTTCCTCTGCAGCTCTTCGGTCCCCCCTCTACAGTTCTTAGTCCCCTCTGCACTATCTGGCCGTCACACTCGGGCCGTTGTCGACGGCACCTCTCTTCTGATTCATTTGGCCACAATTCGGCCGTGTTCCACTCTGCCGGCCCTGTGCCGGGGTGCCGAGCGGGCCATTATGCCTCCCCGCGGCACGGCAAGGGTTGCCCCCGGCTGTGGACAGCCCCGGCGTCTGGCGGGGGCGCGCCGTGTCAGCGCCCCTCGCCGACGGTCGGTAGGCGCCGAGCGCCGCTGCTGATTCGGTCTGAACGCATCATGCCGCCTGGTCGCCGCTGAAAGGCGCCGCTGGCCGCGGCCAGCTGCTGTTTTTGCCCACCGGCCGGAGCGGCGCCCTCGGCGATAGGGCACGTGCCGACGCTGGACGTGGCGCGGCACGTGTCGCCACGGACGCGGCACGTGTCGTCCGGCACATTAGGCGATCGTCGCGGACTGTCCCCGACCGGGACACGGTCCGAGCGGGCCGGAGCCGCGCGCGCGCTGAACTTCCGGTGACTGCTGACTGAGCAGTGGTGATGGTGCTCCTCAATTCACAATAGTCGCGCAGGGGCGCGTGATGAGCACACATTTTTGGCCGCTGATGAAGGCGTTGTCCTTCGTTGACCCCGTATCTATCTCTTCAATGGTACATATGTTGTCAGCTGGTGCTCTTTGAGGAAACTTTGCCCATTCAGGAGAGCTTAATTATGTATAAGGTAACCATTTTTGAAAGCTGTTTTTTTTCTAAAAAAAAAAATGTGCGTCAGCTTTTGGTTTGGCTGTTTTTTCATGTTGATTCCGAAGTTTGCTAGAAGTTAAAAAGTAAAAAGTGAACCGAAAACGTCATTGAAGTTTCCTCTGGCGGCCGATTTACAAGCAAAATCGAGCCTTTTATGGTTCACATCCTCATAAATAAATGCTAAAAGCACCTTGTGGGTTATATGCATGGTTCAACTCAAAGTTAGGTCACAGGTCAAGCTTGGTCTCAAAATGTCACGGAAGTTGTTACGGAGCGAGCGAAGCGAGCGGAGTCTTTCCTTAGATTAACGGAAATTTCTGAGTATGAGCGGCCGGCCGGCCGTGCGGACGCTTTTGCGAGGCTTATATCTCAGCAACCACTTGACCGATTTACACGCGGTAATTTTTGTAGGGTAGCTTCATTCCTTCTACCAAGTATTGGACTATTCCCGATGCATGTGGGTGACCCCTTATGCACGTGCCACGTGCAAAACGAAGAGGTGTCAGTTTTGTAATTGTTGCAATATCTCGGTAACTACTTGGCCGATTGCGCTGAAAGTTGGCATGTAGGTACCCAGTAAACATGCCGACGTCGGCCCGACGTCGGGCCGAGGCTCGGCCCGACGTCGGCCCAACGTCGGTTCAACCTCGGCCCGACATCGGCTGGACGTCGGATATGCCCGCATGTTCCGACGTCCAGCCGAAGTCCAGCCGACGTCGAGCCGACGTCGGGCCGAGATCGTTTGCCGAGGTTGACGAGATCGTTTGCCGTTGGACCGACGGGGCCGAAGTCGGCATGTTTATTGGGACAACGCGCCAAAAATATCAATCGGCGGCGGGATTCGAGCCCCCCAGTCGCCGACGTCGGCATGTTTACTGGGACAACACGCCAAAAGCATCAGCCGGCGATGGGATTCGAACCCCGTGTCATTCGAACGCGAAGTTAGTGCGCTAACCACTACACCACGCAGCCAGCTAACTAATTTGGTTTGTTTTGTTGGGTTATGCCCTTTCGGTCTGACAAGACCATTTCAGACCCGGAAGGATCATAGGATGGAGACATTGGTCTTCTTGGCGAGCACCCTGGGTCCAGTTCATATAGAGTCCCTGGTCCCATTGCTGTTACGTGACACTTATTGGAAAGGGCGACCCCACAATGGATTCATATAGGCACTCTTACACACCTGCACCAACGTTTCCCAAAGTGTCTGTACCGCTGATCTGTTTCGCCGGCTCGCTCATGTTGGCGCGCGCGCAGGCGGGTCAAAGTTCGGATGTGCCGGCGGCCGGCAGCAGCGAAGGCCATCTGCAGCGGCCGCCGGGCAGTGGGGGTCATGCGGAGGGGATGATCGGGTTTGCGCGTCGTTCGGTGTGCAGGTGCCGACCGCGGCAGTGGAAATACAGTTCCGGCTCACAGTGTCCCTTCCTTTGATAAGTGGCACTTTGGCAAAGTGATACTTGCCGACTGGCCTTTCTATATGAACTGGGCCCGGCCCTGGTGAGTTGCCGGGGCTGAGCCTGACCAAAGGATAGGCCGAGCAGCCCCCAAGCACTCACCGCACCCGGCTACGGGCGAGCTCGGCTTACGGGCAATCCCAAATGGGAATGGGATAAAGTTTCCCGTCCAGTCCGGATCAGGGGGTTGCGGCGTGGAGGAAGATTTGAGTTTCCTGAGGATATTTTGAATACAGAAGCTCTTTATGAAACATGAAACATGTATTTTATATTATTTTAACGGTCAAAACAGCGGCCGATGTCGGTCCGACGTCGCCCCGACGTCGACCCGACGTCGGCTGGACCTCAGCAATTGATCTCGGTCTGACGTCGGCCCGACGTCGGCTGGACCTCGGCTGGACGTCGGAACATGCGGGCATATCCGACATCCAGCCGACGTCGTGCCGAGGTTGGACCGACGTCGGGCCGACGTCGGCATGCCGATGCCGAGTTGCCGACGTCACCCCGACGTCGGCCGACGTCGGGCCGACGTCGGCATGTTTACTGGGTAGGCACCCACTAGGCACTGTATATCCATGTGCCAGAGTTGGGGTGCTGCTGCACGTGCGCACGTGCTGGGGTCGTTTCCAGATCTCGAGAACGGCTGGACCGATGGCGCTCAAATTTGGTACACGGTTAGGGACCAGTTAGTAGGGTGCCGTGCACAAGTCAGTTGGGACCCATTTTGCACGTGCGCACGTGCAGGGTGCCGCTCCCAGATCTCGAGAACGGCTGGGCCGATTGTGCTCAAATTTGGCACATCGCTAGAAACCGGTCAGTAGGGTGCCGTGCACAAGTCAGTTGGAGGTACCCCCTCGAAATTTCGCACGTGCAAGACTCACCCCCTCGCTCGCTCCGTTAGTCGCCCCAAAAGGCGCTATACTGGTAAGGTATGTAT